TACATTATGCTTATATTGCCATGCTATGCTCGTAGACATGGATTGGGTTTGAGTGTATTCCATGACAGATGTGAGATTGTTTACTTAATGGTTCAACTTAAGGTGGCAACTTTAATACACATCTGGGTGGATTGAGGCACCTGGGGTATCCAGTGATTGCCTGTTTTTTTGGAAGTCCCGGGGTTACCGTGTGATTGTCCTATGGACCGCCACCCAGGATCAAAGGGAACTGAGATTATTCATGCTAGAAACTTCCGTGTGCAGCCACAAGCTATTATGGGCTCTAGTATAGTTGAGTAAGTTACGTGAAGCTCTTGAAGAGGTAGATCAGCAGGTAGTGGGTTTTGTAGGTTTGGTATGGTCTACCCGGAGTAGAGAGTTAATGTTTCTGAAAGACTGTGTCTCGGTCATCCGTTTCTCAAACACCATGCAGTGCGAGAAACCAACGAAGGCGATCGAGTCTTGTGGGGAGAAGTGCGCAAACCTCTGCAGAGTGTACAAACTAATCATGGTTAGCCATGTACCCGGTTATGGACAATTTGAGTATCTAGTACTTGAGTATTCACATGTATCTCAACACTCTTAATTAATATTGATGGATTGTTAATGACTTTAATTTTGAATTGAGAGGGTGTTTACCTTCTCAATATTTTATCAACCAACTTTGTGGTTAAATAAAATATATTCCTTTGTAGTAGGGAAAAATTGGCTTTTCGCAAAAACTATAACCATAGAGCTTTCCACCAGCCAAATATGCATGTAGTGATAGTTATTATTCATCATTATCCTATGGTGTGCATTTGCCAGTACATTCAATGTACTGACCCTTTGTGGCTGCAACGTCTCATGTTGCAGGATATCTTACGACGTGTAGGTGATACGTTAGGGTTACGATTTCTACACTCAACTTCGCCGTTGGTGTTGATGGGAATCCACAACCTTGTTGTTACTTCCGCTATTTGGATTGAGGTAATAGTATTTACGTTACTTTATACATGTGATTTACCTCTGTTATAAATCCTCGAGTACTGTGTGTGTCAGCATACCGATCCAGGGATGACACTTAAGCACAGAGACTTGATCCATTCGGGTCGGGTCGCTACATGTTCCTCGTGCTTTGGGCACTGCAGTTCCCTTACTAACTGCTCGTGTTTGGGTGCTCTATGGTGGAGACAGTGCTATATCAACTGGAACTGGGTTACTATCTGCTGGGGTTGGGGTTAGAAGGGGTGTAGCTGGTTCTCTATCCAACTGGGTAGGGGTACAATCTGCGAGAGTCTGGGTTATGTGTGGTGGGGCTGGTTCTTGGGTAAGTACAACCGTGGTTCTATCTTCATCGACTGGTAGCACTATCTTTTCTGAAGTCCGCGTTGTTACACCTTTAGATACTGCCATCACCCTCTCCAATTCAAATGGCTAATAAACAAGAAAAGTAATTGAATGTACAGGCATTGTATGATAGACATGTGCAATGGATAGTGGGGAATAAAAGAGGGCATGAAATAATTCACATTTATGTTGTCTAACCAAATAGGATAGCATGACACAATTTCACATATATGATGGCTAACTAAATAGGATAGCATGACACAATTTCACATATATGATGGCTAACTAAAAAGGATGGAAATACATAGTTCAAAATATGATGACTATGTAAATAAGATGACATGATATAACTATACAATGTATTTATTAAATAGGTTGGCATGCCATAATTCACATACATGCCGCCTATGGAAACATGATAGCATGATATAATTCACAGATAGAATGACATAATTCAAAATATGATGACTGTAAACACTAAACAGGATGAGATGATATACCTATATGATGTCTTTGTTAAATGGGTTGGCATGCCATAATTCAAATAGATGCTGTCTGTGTAAACATGATGGCATGATATAATTCAAATATATGATTTATATACTAAGAAAGTAAGCAGATGGTAATCACATATATGATGTAAAAACTAAGCAATGCAAGACAACATGCATGACATGAGTAATATAGCCTTGGAAAGTTTGAGCAAAGACCTCAGGGGGGAAATAGGACTGGTCATCTGTCTCTGAATCTTCCTCTAAGGAGCTATCAATAACCAGCAAGATGGCTTCTTCAGCAGGTAGCATTGTCTGCTCTGAATACCTTGTTTTCACTCCAGATACTTCCATCACTGCTTCAAATGGCTGATGCACAGGAAGAGTAGTTGAATATACAAATGTTGTCGACAAATGAAACACGTAATACAAAAAAAGGATAACATGATATAATTCACATATATGATGATTGACTAAACAACATGGCATTGCATAATTCACATATATAATGCCTTGCAACAAGATAGCATTGCATAATTCAAATATATAATGTCTTGCAACAAGATGGCATTGCATAATTCACATATATGGTAATTAGACACTAAACAGGTGGCATTCACACAAAGCATGTCTAAACTAAGAAAATGACATAGAAATGCAAGACACCATACACACGATATGAGCAACATAACCCTGCCAAGTTAGAGCATACACCTCGGGGGGGGGGGGATAGAACTGGTCATCTATCTCTGAATCCTCCTCTGAAGACCTTGTTTTCACTCCAGAATTTTCCATCCCCGTGTCAAATGGCTAATGCACACGAAGAGTAGTTGAATGTACTAACATTGTTGACAAATGTAATAAGTAATGAAAAAAAGGATGACATGATATAATTCACATATAAGATGACTGGCTAAGTAGGATGCCATTGTAAAATTCACATATATGATGCCTGGCTAAACAAGATGGCGTTGCATAATTCACATGTATGATAAAGAAACTAAACAGATGGCATTCACACAAAGCATGTCTAAACAAATCAGATGACATATTTGATGTATAAAGTAAGCAATGGAAGGCACCATATGCATGACATTACCAAGATCAGCATGCCAAGTTAGAGCGAAGACCTCAAGGGGTAAATAGAAGTGGTCTTCTCCTTCCGAATCCCCCTCAGAACAGTTATCTTTGTCTTGATTACAATCCGAAATGGGTGGAGAGGGGCTGCCTTTGCGCCCACCATGGAGCGACGTCTGCATGAAATTTTATTGCCACGCAAGGCTCGTCTCTTTTGCTCTACATGTTCAGTTCCATTGTGTACAATAACTGACATGCATAGGAATAAAACATAGTGAGATTATGTAAGGAGTGCATGCAGAAATCCAGAGTGATGGTAGCAACCTGTGGATAGACCCAAAACCAGTGATAGCAGGCAGATAATGACTTCAGTTAAGAAATACAGATAATGGCTTCTTTACTGTTTGTTTCCCACCCAACATGAAACTCATAGTAGACACCAGATATTAACCAGATAGTAGATAGATACTCTTGATTGCAGACTCGTTTTGTACCCCACAACCATTTAAAAACTCAAGTTTGAGCATCAGTTTGGAGCTGACTCAGAGTATAATTGGTGAACAGAACGATAAAGTAGCATGTAATATTAAGCGATGCATAACGTAAGCAGACACGAAAGAGTGCGACCTCTCTTACGGACCCATGTAGTCCTCAAGGTCATATGCTCAGTTGATGATGGTAATGCAGTTGTTGTGGCTGCTAGCGGCGGTGAAGAAGATATGAGGCGGCGAAAGATAGTCCGAAGGGCGGATCCCTGCTGTAGTGAACCCTTTCATCATTGGAGCAGCTGAGCTGGGGTGGAACAGTGCAGCAGGAGCGGGACAAACTACACAAGGTTTTCTTTGACACATATGTATAACAGAAGTAATTGTGTAAGGGCTTGTTTGAATTTGAGGATTCTAAAAATGCAGGGATATGAAATGCACGGGAATAGGATAGGAATGCACGTGCAAAACAGAGAATTTAAAAACACATGATTTCTGCCAATCTGGGTGTTTGGTTGACAAGAATTGGAAGATGACTGTATGCAAAGAAGCATGGTGAGATTAAGTCAAAGCACAAGAAAATGTACAATTATAATGTTATTATGCTACTATCTCTTAGTCTTGTGCTTCATGAATAGGAATTTGAAAAGGAGGACAAGTGGATATTAAAATTCCTATGGTTTTTCTTTCAAGGAGACACTAAAGGAACAAATCCTACAGTTTTCCTTTGCTCCATTCCTTTGAACCAAATGCATGAATAGTAGTACCATAGGAAACTTTCCAATTCCTATGTTATTCTTCACTTTTCCTTTCAAGCACTGGCGATTCTAGTAGGCAGGCTTGAGCAAGGAAAAGTCTACACTCAAAAAATGTTTTGGTGCTACTTCTACTACTCTGGACCCAGGCCACTGCCCTACTCACTACTAGAAAAACCCCTACTAATGGCGCACCTAATATGGCCATTAATGGCGCATCAGTGGTGCGCCATTACTAGCACGCCATTAGTAATTTAGGTGCGCCATTAGTATACCATTCGGTGCTCCACTGATATTCCCTCTAGGTGCGCCACTAATAACCTTATAGGTGCGTCACTAGTAATAAAGGAAGGTGCGCCACTAATAAGGGCTTAAATGCGCCACTAGTAATGTATTTGGAAAACAAAAAAAATCCAATTTTACAGAAAACAACCTATAAGGAAAATAATTTAAAAACAAAAAATGAAATAGAATCATATTTTTTATTATAGTAAGAATATTACAATGTCTTTACAAGTATCCAATAAAAGGAAAATTGCAAGGAAATAAAAGAAAATCCTAAAACTAATCTTCTAGTAATCTTTTCTTCTTTTTCTTCACTTTATCCCTGCAAAATGTAACAAAATAAACAGAAATACAAACAAACTATTTATAACATGTCAATATTGTCATTTTTTATAACATGTCAATACTGTCTTTTCCGGAATTACATGGTGTGAATATTGTATGAGTAAGATTATAATGGAAATGAATTGCAGAGGACATATGAGGTTCAACACTAATCATCGACAAGATGGAAGCGCTATGTACATATATGGGGCATTCGTTCTTTGTTCTTCGCTCTCCGACCGACCGCACCCACCCTACCAGGACTGCTCGGCGTTGCCCTCACCTGCATTGTTCCTTTTTTTTGAGAATGAAAGAGAGGGAATGAAAACCTGAGCGATTTCAAGCATGTGATGAAAGGATTGTTTTTGGGCCGATCGCCGTACCTTTTTCTCTTGCTCTTGTCTGACGAGGACGAGGTAGGGTTGCTGTGCCAGTTCTGCTTGCGCTGGTTGATGAACCAGTTGTTGATCTGCGTCAGCTGCAGCCCCATCTCCTGCACCAGCCGCGCCTTGTCCTCCTCCTAGCAATACCCACCAGCGATGCTCATCAGTAGCACAACAAGAATTGCATGTAAAATGGTGACAAAGTTGCTGGCGATGACGGTATATGCGGGATGTCTGTCACATACAGTAGGGTACGGCCATTTGGCGTGGGCTTGCCACCAAGCTTTCAGGGTAGACGCCGTGTCCCCTGGGAGCTTTCCGGCTCTTCGCTTCCGCAGTATCTCCTCCCTGATGTCCACAAGCTTTTCTCTATACCCCTGCAAAGTCAGGAAAATAATTTTGTTTACAGTTCAGTTTGGACACCAACATAGTGGCAGCTGACAGAATGGAAGGCATCGAGTTTTACCTGTTTAAGCTCATGCTTCAGCTCTTGCCTCACGCGCTCGACCAAGGATCTCTCACCCTCGGTTAGCATTCCGAAGCCCATGCCATCTGACACATCATTCCCGTCAAACATGTTGCTCTCACTGTCGACCGGATTGTCTTCGTCATCGGACATAGTTGCCCCGGTGCCTTCACCAGGAGATGCCCCTATAGGAAGAATCGATATTAGCAAAACTCAGAACTGGCCAATCTCCAACTTATCCTGGTCACATTTATATTGCGTCTTGCCTTGGCAGGTACTTATTCTTGCTCTAGTTTTTTTCAGTACAATATATAACTAAGCCTATCCAGGCTTAATCTTGCTCTATTTTTTTTTCTGACACAATTCTCATTATTATCTGAAGGCAAACTTCCATGTTCAAGCATATGCCTCTCATCGTAAACTGATTGATGATTACACATACAAATAGATTATGCAAAGTTCTATTGTCAACAAAAAAAAGAAAAATCACTCCCTTTGGTTTTCACAGCGACACCAGTTTCCAGTGTGACTGGATATTGGCATGGTTTTCTCATAGGTGTGTGCCTCGTGATGCCTATAGGCAGAATGGTGGAAAATGTGACATAGCAAAAGGAACTAAAAACAGTACTATATGCAGACAATCAATATCCATGAATTAAATTCAAGTAAAGTACAATTCCACTAGAAATTTTGTAGCCATGTCAGTTCATTTTGACGATGAAGCATTATTCAATATGCAACACTTTTTTTGCACTACGCAAGGGGCTTCTTTTCCTATATGGATTATATGTCATTTTGACAAGCAACATAAAGTATCTGAAAGGGTAACCCTTGTGTGATGGTTCCCGATTATATAGTCCGTGACTGTTCCGTGTGGAAGCTAATTGCAGTAGACATATTAAGAGAGACTTTATCAGGACAGCTTAGCTAAGATTATGAACGCAAGGTACTGTCAGTTCAGTTGCATGGTTGGTGCAACACAAGGTTCATGAATAACTGCCACATACACCGAACTGAAATCTCAAAAGGTACAGCTTTGAAGCCAGGTCCAACAGCTCAAAGTCTGCAACTCTTGTAACTAATAATAATATATAAGAAGGAACCGGTACTACTATAAAGGTGGACCTAGTATCTCATAGGACCTACAAGGGTGTGAATTATGACCTATATTTTCTGTCACAACGCGCAATAATACAGGAAAATGGCCAGTCATCGAGCTCTTTCTAGTTGAGTTGAAAAACAAAATATAAGACGTTTTTGCAGTTCTTATATTCTGGTACAGAGGTAGTATTTGTGTTATGTTTGTACTCGCTGGATGCAGAGAGCAGAAGCAATGGATCCCTTCTTTTAAAAAAGAATTCCCCTGTGGTTGAGATCCTATGAAACGGCGCCCCTCATGTAGCATGATACTTACTGTGACTATCAACCTCTTAATAAGCATGTAGTGTAGAGATTGTAAAACCCTCTTCCTAGAGAATTTAAGAAGCACTTATCTTGCTGCTGAACTGATGAAGTTAAGATGATGTATGGTACCTGTAAGACTCTGCAGAGTTTGCTCGAGCTCCCAGCAGGCCATCACCGCCTCCATGGCGTGGACGCGCACATGCTGCTGGAGCTGTTCCTTGAAGGAACAGAGGAGCAGCACATAGTGTGTCTGCAACAAGGAAAACAGAACCTTTAGAACACATATATAGAGAAAAAGGCTGGTGGTCAATAATAACCTTTACACAAGGAGAATTGCCATTTCCAGGCAAAGGAAGGAGCCCCTGCTTGCCTAGAAAAGGGACACTTGTAGTTGTGTTTTGGGGTTTGCTTTTGTCTCTATCACAGAGGTGAGGCGCTTGTGGTTGAGGAAACAAAGTTGCTCACATCTAGAGCCTAGAGCACGCAGTAAATTATTTGGAGGTGGGATGGGTAGCAATCAAGGGATGAACTAGCATAATACTCATAGTTGAAGAAGCTAACTTTAACCAAATCCACCGGCGGAGGTTAGCGAGTGCTAATAATCCCATGTGAGCTCGTGCGCAACCAATCAAACATGTTGTGTGCGTTGGAAGAAAAAGGTAACCTGGCTTAGCCTGTTTGAAATCCCAATCCCAGTCCCAACACGAGCGGGGCAATTTCATCGCCAAATCCCATCCAATCCTCAAATTTTCGAACCACACACGCACGCACGCCGCTTCAATCTACTACACATAACATAGAGCACGCGCGGGGTAGCCCGGCCCAGCCGGCGCGGGGCGTCCGTACGCGGCGTGAGCGTGAGGCGAGGAGGCCTGGTGGTGGTAGCAGCTCACCATGAAGAGGTCGAGCTCCTCGCCGCCGGCGGGCGCGGCGGCGGGGGGCACGGGCGGCGGGGCGCGCGCGGCGATCTGCGCGCCGATGCGGGGGAGCTGGTCGATGGGGGTGGTGACGCAGAGGCAGGCGACATGCGCCTCCAGCAGTAGCAGCCTGCCCTGCACATAAAACGAACCAATGAGGGGACAGGAGGGGAGATGAATAAGATGGCCTGCAGCCACACGCACCATGGTCGGGGTCGGAGATCCGTCACCGGAGATGGCCTGCAGCCGTCGTCTGTCGCCCGGAGGTTGAGGCGTCGTACCTCCATGGCTAGGCTAGGCTAGGGTTTCTGGCATCTCCGTCCTGGCTTCTATCGGCCCTGGATGGATGGTCGCGGCTCAGGTCGACGATGGGATGATGCGCCGTGGATCTGGATCTGGGCGCTCCTCACCTCCCTGGAAGCTCGCCGGAGAAGGCCTTCCCTTCCCTCCCCTCCTCTCCTCTACTGGGAGAGAAGAGGAGAGAAGAGAAGAGAAGGTGATGTGCGGCAGCGCTGCAGGGAGAGGAGGCCGCCATGACCGGGCTCCTCCTGCTGCCATGGTCGCCATGGCATCGGGCTAGGGTCTTGGCCCGACCAGGCAGACAGAGGAGAGGATAGGGAGGTCGCCGGCGCGGCGTGGATGGGGAGAGGAGGCCGCCGGAGAGGTGATGCGGAAGAGGAGATCGGCGGCGGCGTTGGGTCAGAGCCGGAGGAGAGGCGGGTGGCTGTGTCAGGAGGAAGGGGAGGGGAGAGAACGTGACTAGAGGGAGGGGATAAGGGGTGATAGCAATGGCGCACCGGTAGGGGGTGCGCCATACGTATAGATAGCAATGGCGCATCTCTTACTGGTGCGCCATTACTAGTTAAAACTAGTAATGGCGCACTTTCCCCCTGGTGCGCCATTGGTAAGTCTGGGGAGGGGTGTGGGGCCAGGACAAAACTACTAATGGCGCACCACACACTAAGTGCGCCATTAGTAATATGGCCACTAATGGCGCACCCATATCTGGTGCGCCATTGCTATATAGCAGTGGCGCACCACATGTCTGGTGCGCCATTAGTGTCCATATCATCTATAGCCCTTTTCCTAGTAGTGACTAGCTTAACTCCCACACCCATCTACAAATGCACAGCTCAAACGCATAGAGATAAATAATGATGGCATTCTAGAGAGTCCATCACGGATAGCTAAGTTGCCTGGTACCTCACTGCTTGTCATATAGTAGGAGAAACTAATCGTATTTCATGTTACTACGTGTGCTCAGTGGACAATATATATAACATGTAGAGTAAAAAGGCAATGTAACAAGTGTACAACCTCTTTGGCGAAGCCATGTCGATCTCAACATGATTGGATTGGTCGGTGAGGATGCTCCATCTGATTTGGCTGTCGAAGGGGAGAAGAAGATCTTAGGCGTCCAAAGATGGAGCCCGGGGTACTGCTCCGCTGTGATGGAGGGTTTCATCGTTGGAGCAGCTCCAGTGAGTTGTACGACAGCGAGGCTCAAGCAAGACATGAGAGACAATGTTAACCTGAGTGAAATTCTAATAGCATCTCTAATAGATGACGTAAAATACATAACCACAAAGAGCTAGATTAAAATACATCAGCCACTCATCTCTAAATTTAACTGTCAAAACTGAATTTTGCTGTCAAAACTAAATTTTACTATCAAAACTGAATGCGCTAGTAGAAGAAAAGTAGTAGAAGCAGCAGCACCCGGAGCAGCAGCGCGTGCGAGAGCCGAGGCAACTGGTCGTGTAGCAGCATCTCGAGTAGTAGCTGCAGGGGCTCGAGGGAGAGCAGGATCTGCTAGTCGTGTAGCAGCAGCATGCGCAAGAGTAGAGCAGCAGCGCAAGCAAGATCAAGAGCGAGAGTAGCAGCGCAAGCAAGAGCAAGAGCGAGAGGAGCAGCGCAAGCAAGAGCAAGAGCAAGAGCAGACCAGGTAGGGGACCGAGAGTAAGACCAGAGCAGCAATGCGAGCGAGAGCCAAAGCAGCAGCAGCTCCTACTGATGTGGACGTTGCCGCCGATGGAGCGATGCCATGGAGGAAGTGGCCGGCGACACCGACGTGGATGGAGCCGCGCCATGTCGGCTCGGGACCGAGCGCCGACAGCACCGTGAGATCGAATCAAGAAGAAAATGCGGCGACTCGTGTAGAACCTCTTTGGTGGTGTCGATTAGGCCTCAGCTTCATTCGAGGAATCAGTGATGATGCTGCTCTTCAGGTGGTGCAGGTGAAGACGGCAGTGTGGGAATGGAGGTGGCGTGAAAGACGAGGGGAACATCGGGCCAACTCCTTGGAGGTGGAGGATGGGGTGGCTAAATTGGCGGGACGACGAGATCGATGAGACAAAGATGGCGCGGGTTGTAATTTTGGGATAGCAAGGCGCGGGTTGAGATGGAGGTTGTTTTCGGAGCACAATGAGACAAAGATATATCTTAAATATTTCGTGGTAACAAGGCGCGGGTTGAAATTTTTGGACAAGCCTAATGTGTACTGTACTAAATCAATTCACACTTCCCTCGACGAAAAACAAAATGAAATCAATTTGCGCCACACAAGAGAGTCTAGTCCCGTGTACTGTACAAATCAATTCGCACTACAAATGCCATTCAAAACTTTGAATTCATGTCATGTTCAATTAAAATATTTTGCTACGTGTATAATGCATGAAACCTGCTACTCAAATGAACGTTTTAGTGCATTCCAAACGTATATACTACCGCTTCAATCTGAACTAAATTTGAATTTGTTTCTCTATTGAATAAGATCTACAATCATGATTGTTGTCAAGTTAAACCATTTGAATTTGTTTATCTATTTTAATAAGATCTACAATCATCATTATTGTCAAGTTAAACCATCATTTGTATATTATCTTCACAGCACACCACATGATTACTGTCGAGTTAGATATGAACTATGTGTACTATATGAACTCGAACTCGATTTTTTGAATCCACTTTATGTTGTTTCCAAATCATAGTACATTTCAAGATCTAGCTAGATCTTCATAATCTAAACCATGTCTCATATGCATAATGTGTTTATCACATTATGTATGCTGCCCCGCCCGCTACGCCTACAAGTATTTAGATGTGAGGTGCAAATACCACACATTATCACAAATTCAAATAAAATGTGAGATTGTGCGATACATAGTATGGTTTAGATTGTTCGATATTTAGTTGTGAGCTGCAAATGCCTCACATTATCACAAATTCAAATTAAATGTGAGGTTATTCGATGTATAGTATGGCTTAGATTGTTCGATATTTAGCTGTGAGTTGCAAATGCCATGCATTATCACATTATGGTATAACATGTCCAAAACCACACCATGCGTATCACGGTCATATTCATGCATGCATATGTTTATAACACTATGATCTCCTATTCAAATATATGAATCCATTTTCACATTGAATTATGATCTTTGTTAGTCTCTTACACCCACACAATCCTCTAACCTTTTTAGCTAGCACTAACTTTCTCTCGTGCATGCACACGCCCTCCTCGCCCTCCCCTCCCTCAACATTCTATCCATCGTGCACATTCATTTTTTTCTTTAGGTCATTCTCCCATGGTCTCCACAACTCCTTTCTGACACACACCGATCGATAAACCTCTCCAGCGATGTCTGCCTACCACATGCAAACACCTTCCATCTCCTCCTTTCTGTGTCCATGCCTCGTGTCTCTCAAATGGTCCCACACACGTGTAAACTCTTGCCCCTCTTTCATCGATCTCACAATTGCACACTCCTCCCCCTATCTAGCTAGTAGGCCTCTCGCACGACCTTCTAGCTCCATTCTCTCTATCTATCTGTCTTGCTAGGCCATATTTGCCTATAACAAATGGATGTACACTGACCGATCTCCCGCTATACATATAGCTAGCTAGGTCGTTATAACTCGTTTTCCCCACGCGTCGATCGATCTACCTCATTTGTTATATCTCTCCCTTCCTCCGACACACAACAATTGATCTACCGATCTAGTTAGGTCTGCTTACCAAACACATGGTCCCCCTTCATCATCCATGCATGCCTCCCGACACATCTATCATGCACACGCACACACAAAAACACATCCCCACTCTTATTGATAATATTGCAGTTCTGCCCCCAGTTTGTCTAGTAGGCCTCTCCCACCATCTTCGAGAAGCAACTCCACCACCCATCCAGCACTCTACCCCCCCTCTCTCTCTCTCCTCTCTCTCTCTCTCTGTGTGTCCCAACCTATTTCCCATCCTTCAATTATGTATGGATGTTGACCGATCTCCCTCAAGACATAGCTGGGTCTCTCCTTCTCAATACAAATACGATCTACCTCTCTAGTTAGGTCTCTGCCTCCCCGCTGCCCCCCCACACACACCGATACATCGAGTGCTCTAGTCATGTCTCCCTGCCACACACAA